AAAAAATCCATTCCAAACGAGGCTTTTTAACTCTAACCTAAAAAAGCCAAAAAGTCCACCCACATCTCAAACGAAGGCAATTAGTGACATGTCGTTCAAAATTAATAATTAGTGACGTTTTTTTAATAAATTTTAATGAAAAATTTCATTAATTATCATAGAACCTATTGGACAATAAGTCCACTTATTAAAATCTACATGTAAGTCTCAAAAAAAATTATTTTCCACCTACTTATATTCCACTTAGTCGAAATTATTTTCTTATATTCAATAAGTCATTTGAGCAACATAGTTACCAAAATATTCCAAATAATAATAATAATGAGTGAAGCACGCATTAATGTTCATATTGACAGTGTGAATGTTTTATGATGTGAACATTCACACTATCAAATTTATTTAATGTGAATGTTCATATCACTAAGTTGCTAAGGATTTAAAAAATATTTATAAAGGTAAAATTGTCCATAAAATACTTTAAATATGAAAATTAGGATTTGGCAAATCAAATATCCAAATTAATAGGACTTATTGAAATATAAGAATATCTTATGGACTAATTGACATACAAGTATTTAAAAGATGATTTTCTAATAAATTCCCCCTCAAAATTTTTATTAATTTTTAATTTATTTTTGAAAATTTTATTGATTTGTTATTTCTCTTTTGATTTCCTCGTTTGAAAGAAATTTTATTTTGACTTTTGCAATTTTAATATAAATAATTTGATATTTATATTTTTAATTTTGTTGCAATGTGATTTATCGATCATGTGTTAACTTTTAAATTAAAAATTTTAATGTGTAAAACTAGAACGATCAATTTTAAACAAACTATAGAGACCACCGAGGTAGTTCTTATTGTTTGTTTTAAATTCAACTTCGGTCTATTTAATTTTTTACATGGTCTTTTTGTATTTAAAATTCAAACAATAAGTGACGAAGGGATGATCATATTGCAATAGAACTAATGACATTTTTGATTGGGTGGATTAGAACATGAGATTGAGATTATTAATCCGTAGGCCTAATTATCCTATGTTTGTTTTAACATTTTGGTTTAAGATTATTAATCCAATGGATAATTAATCCAACAAATGTGTAGGATTATTAGTAATGGAGTAAGGGTGGGATTATTAATCCAATTGAATAGTGAATACCACACTAATTTAATAGGATTATTAATATTAATCTTGTGAATCAAACGTGACCAGTATAAAGTTTTAATTGTTTAAATTAAAAGTACTGGGACTATACTTCATTTTAATCTAGTCAGATTAATGGTGTAACTTATCCCCAATTGAAATTTGACTTTGGTTCTTATCCTTCAAGGAAAAAATTCGAAAACACAAAAAATACTCTTACAATTTTAACCCTGGATGATGTGGTTAATAGGTGTCAATTTTATATTTATTTATTACACCTCTAATGATATAAGACCCAACTCTCTTTTGACATCATTATGGTTGAATTTGTAGGTCTAAAAATATGAGTTTCTAACATTTCTCTTAAAACCAAATCAAACTATAAAAAAATTTGAAACCAAATTGACTGAACCTGTAAAATATTCGCCCAAAAATTTTGATGTTAAAAAAAAGAAGCTAAATTACTAATAGGTCTTACTTTTGAACATACACTAATTATCCAATAAGTTCTATTGATAAATTTAGCAATCTCTCTTATTTTTATGAAGTAATTTACAGTGATAAATTTATCAGTCATGACTTGTAAGTAAATAAGTCTAGTTAATAGGACTGATTGGTAAGCGTCTCTAAAATAAAATAAAATAAAAAGTTAAAAATCCAACTAGAATAGCCACTTCCCAAACCAAAGTATCAAATATATATAAATTATGACCCACTGTACAAAAAAATAGAAAAAGTAATATAACAACTTATAATAACTTTTTGACTTTTTAGTTATGTTAGCTGATTGCCAAACAAGGCAGTAAAATATTTAACTGTTTACAATAGGTAACAAATTATATATGTATGTATATCTAAAAAATCTGGTTTGATTTGCAAATCAAATCCACAAGTATAAACCGCGGATTGAATTGTATGGTTTGCTTATTTTTAGAATCGGGACCGAACTGTGTATTGAGAACTAAACTAAACCATAAGTTTTGGTTGTCATGGCAAATTCATGTGGCGTAAATAACCATTTTTTTACTTTAGTTCTTGTTATTAAAAGTGCACATTATTTGAATTGCTATGATTTAGAAATATTCAAAGATTAATTCATTATTGAGATGGGTCTCAATAGAAAGGGCAAATTACGTTAATGGTCCCTATAGTTTGGAGTTTGTGTCACTTTAGTCCCTGACTTTTCAATTGTTACATATTTGACCCTGAGTTTTGAATCTTGTTCTAAATAAGGACAATTGAATATACTATTTGCTTAATTTCAATGACAAAATCGTCAATTTGATAAAATATAAACTAATTTGATAAAAATAAATGTCAAAAAAATATTTTTGAATATTAAAAAATTATATCTACCTACTAAAGATAAAATTATGTAAAATTAATAAAAATTACATGATTAATTTTTTAAAATTAATTTTACATGATCATGTAATGGGCAGTTTTTAATTTCATTAAATTAGTTTCTATTTTTTTCAGAAGTCAAATATGGCGACAACTTTGATATCATTATTAAACCAATCCATTAAACCAAAAATCCAAAACTAAAAATATTTCATATATTAAATATATCGATTACACATTATAATTCTAACAACCACCCATTACATAGTCATCATCCAAACACATAATAAAAATTAATTTTGTAAAAATAAATAAATAAATAAATGTGTAAAAGATTTATCAATTTTATACAAATTTTATCTTTGATGGGTAGAAATAATTTTTAAAATTTTAAAAAATATTTTTTGACATTTATTTTTGTCAAATTAGTTTATATTTTATCAAATTGACGATTTTGTCCTTGAAATTAAGTAATGGTATCTTCAATTGTCCTTATTTGGAACAAGATTCAAAATTCAGGATAAAATGTATCACAATTAAAAAGTTAGGGACCAAACTGACACGAACCCCAAACTATATGGACTGTTAGTATAATTTGCCCCAATAGAAATGAGTGAGAGACATGGGAAGAGAAAAGCAAAAGGGGAAGGGAAGAGAGAGAGAGAGAGAGTTGGGAGTGGTTAGGGGTATTTTGTCCTATAAACCTGAATCGATGATATTGTAATTGTTTTTTGGTCTTCCATCTATATTGATATACGGATAACATTTCCATTGAAATGATATGTCTTTCCCAAAATGCTAGTATTTATTTGCAATTTCCCCAAATATAAAATGACTATATTGACCCTAAAACCTTATTTTCCAATTTTTTTTTATTTAATTTGATCGAATTACATAAAAATATAAACATCACATGGCATTTTTTTTAGTGAACATAACATTAAATTGTAACTAAATCTCTATTAATCAAGTTGCACTAAATTGACTCTAACTTGACCTGTTTATTTATCGTGTCATTGTATTATGTTATAATTGATTTTGTATTGAAAAATGTTCAATTCTAATCCACTAAATTCATATAGCGTTCGTATCATGTTTTGCATGTTATATAAAAATTCTCCTCCCTCCATATGGTGTTTTTTTTTTTGTCATCCCTCCAAATAATGTTTTTTGTATTTTTAAAATTTTTTGAATTGATTTCTAGGTTGTGCAGCTGATTTGGTTCTTCAATTGGGGAAGTGATAGTATACATACTTAAAAATAAAAAAATTATACATGACATACACTTTAGAATTTTAGTCACAATAGTTCATTATTAGTACACCAATTTGGGTTATAATGAAAACCAAATTGGATCATAATTAAAGACGACAAAATTCTCATAATCAAGACTTATCCGGTTCATAAGAGAACACCACAAAACCTCATAGTCAAGGTCATTTCATTTCATAACTAAACACCACAAAACCTCCCAGCTAAAACCAATTTGGTTCATTTAAAAAAAAAAGTCAGTCTTATATTCATAGACACTTCGATTAACCAATCACAACAAAGGCTCATAATCATACTCACCACAAACAAAGGATTCATAACTAAGATTACAAGTTAAAATTTTACTAAAAACTATTGTGGCTGAAATTTTGAATACATTTTTTATGTGCACCTTTTGTAGTGTGTATTATTTCCCGAATCAATTTTATATAATAAGACCAATTGTGTACTCCAACACATTCCGATGAATTCGTAAAAACAATCAAAACAAGTAATAAAATTGTAAATTATGGGAATGAAATCAAGAGAAAGCTTTACCTTGTTGCAAAACTTGAAGGGAATCAGACCAACTGGGCTCAGACACATCAAGACATTCAGATATAGAATGAGAAAGAAATGAGAGAGAAAAGTATCAAAATAGAAAGTTAGCTTCTTGTTTATTCTTCAACTTTGTCATACATTGGTCTACAAGATGAACGAGAAAGGAGAGAAAATTCAGAGAAGGCACTGCACCTTACTTCCATTTAGCAACAAAACATGCACTACATACGGCAATGATGGAACAATATTGCTTGTCATGCTAACCTGTCAGCATGCGAACAATAAGACCTATGTGCAATATTATGAGGTGAATTGTACGAGTTTTAGATTGTTCTTCCCTTATTTCTTCATTATGTAATTTTCTATCGACTCTAAAACTCTTTGATATGGTTCGATGTCAATTCCCACAGCTACCTATCTTTCAATTGGTCTTGGAAATTTTCATATAAAGAACTGGCTAAAAAACTAAAACATCAAAAACAAGGATAATTATTTGACTCAAGCATAAATCCCCAAATGAGAGAGCATCACTAACATTCACAAGGAAGAAGTACATGAAGAGCATAGCTTAAACATTGTAGAATTCTTTAAAAAAAAATTAAATAAATACATAAAATAAAAATTGAGTATTGCAAAAGCTTTAGGAAAAGAACAAGCTTAAAAAAGGCACATCTGATCTGTTCCAAGATGTAGGACATGCTCAAACAATGGACAGGCTTTCATAGAATTCATAAACATACTTAAAAGTATACGCACTAGAAATGTGCTTGTAACCAGAAAATTCATAAAAGCCAGTTCGGTAATCGCAGAGCACCTTCACTGTCTTGCACTTCAGATTATAGGAAACAATTTTGCCAGGAATAGATAACACCAACGTAAAATCTTTTTCATTTGCTCCCTTCACAACACATAGCACAGCAATTTTCCTAATGATGGGCAGGTCACACATGTGTCTGCTTCTCTCTATCTCAGGAAAAAGAGATATTATGGGACTAAGATTGACCTGGTACTTCTCAATCCAATAACAGTAGTTCCTCTCCATCTCAAGAATTCTGAATCCCATATCACAGCACTGAACAAGAAGTAAATGGCCACAGCATTCTCCAAAATACCAAATTCTCTCTTCGGAGAGAATTTTAGGGTTTGAAGGCATTCGAGTTCCTATTAGCTTCTCAGCATCAACATCAAATCGAATGTAAACGTTATCGTAACTCATCCAATGAATTGAACCATTCCAAAATACCTTTTTTGCGAAAGGGTAACCTGGTGGTGCAGCAGCACGCATGTGTGTCCAAGAAGTGCTCTCCGAAGAGTATATGTCAATTAAGTAAAAGCAGCCGTCACTATTCCTAATGTAACTTACCAATACAACAATGTAGTGCGGTGATTTTGAAGGATCAAAAGCCAAATAACCACCAAACATAGAACTCAAGAAAACACCAAACTTTGTTATGATATGAAATGGTATAGAAGATGTCATAGTGCCACCATGATAGGGAAGTACTGTGTATTTCTAGGTGGTCGGGTTACAAACAATGAAACACGTTGGGCCATTCAAGCATAATAGTAAGCCTTTGCAAGAGTCTTCAATCCTAAATGTACCAGACCCATATCCAACACCATCAAGAAGTGACGAAGTCGGAAGACTTTGGTGTTGGCCGTGAAGTGAGACAGACTTGACTTTTTCATCGTCAAATGATGTAACAGGGTTGATGAATAGTCCTGAGAACAAGGCACTGGGATATCGGTTAGAGTGGTTGAGAGAAAATGGTGAATTGGAGATTAGGGAGAACCAATCCTTAGACGCGCACTTGAATCTGATGACAAACTTTGCCGGCACACAGGTAAGGATCTCTGTTAGAATATCTACATTGCTGCCAATTAATTCTGTTGCCGGTGTATGTTCCGATGAATTGTAGCCAATAACTAGTGTTCCTTTACTGTTGGTCATTTTTCCCTGTGCATAACCCAGAACAAGAACAGAGAATACGCATCACCATCAAACTAAGTTAAATTTCAGCCAAATTGTAGTTAAAAAATTACTTTTTCTATTTTAACAAATTACAAATTAATGCCACTGCTAGAATTCCTTTTAGTCAAGCATTTTCCTTACAACTATGATGAGTTTTGGTCACTATTATAATTCATTACAGCAATCTCCCATCCTTCACCAAATCTAGTGTCAAATTTGAATTTGATGACAATGACTCCAATTATTTCATCAAATTTGTATCAAATCAAGTTTTAACCGAACTTTTCATCAAATCAAGGCAAAAATAAGTTTTTCACCAAATTTGATGAAACAAACTTTTGGGGATAAGCATGGAATTTTTAAGAGTTGGGCATCACTTCAGTGGCTCGTAGGGCCCACTACAAGTCTTGTGTCGATGATCCAAACTGTTCATTTCATAAGATCTTTTGCATATATCATCTATGAAAAAAATTAGCTCAATCCGATAATCGTAATATTTTCCTTTACCGTGTTTGTCTCAAAAAAATATGAGTGATCTATTTTAAAAAACATACTCATTGTCCATTTTTTCGGAAACAAACATGATAAAATGAAAAGGTTACCATTATCCGATTAAGATAATTTTTTTCATGGATGATATACACGGAGGTCCCTACATGAACGGTTCGGATCATTGAAACATAACCTGTAGCGGGCCCCTCAAGTTCTCATTTCTAGTTCTCTCAAGTTGAGATTTGAACTTGAGAAGCCAAACCCAATTTTCAAAATGGATTTGATGAAATTTTTTAAGTGAGGATTGGAGCATTCAAAATTTTTCACCAAATCAAGCTTTTACTTAAATTTGATGAAAAAGCAGTTGGAGCATCCCATATCATATCAAGCTTATAACTAATTTTTCACCGAAATTTGATAAATAAATAAACTAAAAGAATGAACTTATTGCAAAGTGAGATCTAATCAATAGTTCAAAACTTTTAAAAACTGAGAAAAACTATTTGTGAGATTTATTAGCTTTCTAGTAAAATACTTCTTTTGCAATGCTTATACAAGAAATTATGTTAAATTAGTAATGTATCAAAACTAACTATGGATTTTATACACATATATGTTGGCCCCTCCCAGAAAAAATTCCTAGTTTCGCCCCTGCTGGCAAATGCTGTAAAGTGTATGCTTTTCTTTTCTGGCAATGACTATGGTAAGATCATTTGGTAAAGTGTCTCCCAGAAAATTATAACCACCAAAGAGTGACTTTGCTGAAATTAGTGGGAAATGTTAATTTGGTATGGTATTTCCAAAAAAATCAAACCTTCACAAATTGTTAAATTTGTTAAAAGTATCCAATGAACTGATCATATGTTCGTAAGATACACCCTTTTAAACTGAACTCAAAAATTAGCACAACCATTATCTTTATCACAGCCAAAGAAAAATGCCCAAAAATACCATCAATACAAGATATCTCGATGGAACATCTCTACTCTAGAAGTGAATTAGGACGGCAGAAAATGAACCTCTAAAGTACATGAGATGATGAGTGAACATGTACAAAAAGAAAAAGATCACCCACACTGTCTTGGTTTCATTCAACCCAAAAGATCTGACCCTAAAATTCACATATCATAGAGTTGATGCGAACATATCTTAAAAAACTAACAGATCAGAGCAATTAGTACTGTATTCAAACAAAACCCACTATTATTTGGGGCGAATCTGTTGAACATCTACGAAATATGGCAGCTTACCACAATCCATTGATTCGTGTATAGAATGGAAGGGAAGAGATTTACATCGGTGGGAAGACAGCCGATGAAGACTGGCGAGTAAGATAGCCGACACAGACGGGCCATGAAGATTGGTGACGACAATAGCCGACGCAAATCGGTGATGTTCGTTTTCCGTTGATGGCAGACCACAATTTACCCAAACACATGAAGAGAGGCAGAAGTGAAGAAGCATGAAGGGGAAGAGGTCTGCCCTAAACTTCCAGAGATTCTTTTGCTGTGTCATTTGCTTTAAATGTTGGGGATAGGGGTGCTCATGGACCCATCACTGGCCCAATTAAGCTCGATATTTGTAAGATTAGATTGAATTAAAATTTTAAATTCATTTAATTTTGAAGTTGGATTTAGGATGATAAACTTTAGCTTTTTCCTGCCTGACTCGCTTATTTATAAAACATTAATATTAATTTTATATTATTTAATTATAAAATTAACTAGACAAATAACAAAAATATAAGAAAAGTATACATATGTATTTATTTTTATTGGGTTAGGTGGGTCGATTTGGAATTAATTTTTTTTCTAGATAACAACCAAGAAACTTACAAGATAAAGAAAAAAAAAAGAAAAATAGAACAAATCCCATAAGCCCAAATAAAGAAACCTACACAAACAACAAAAACCTGCCGCGAAAAAAAAAACACACACACACACACACACACACTGGCAAACATGGGTTGCCAAAGCACATGAACACCCACAACAGTAATGGGTAACCATTATGGGTACTGATAATCCCAAAATTTAAGAACGATGAAAGAAGAAAGCACTCTGTGTCAGAATTACACAGAAGCTTTCGAACTCTTCTCCGTATGCATAAAAACCCAAATCTACTACATGACAGAAGTGTATTTGGAGCTTATCGAAGAAGCGTCAGAAAGTCGTTGAATGGGGGTCAAGAATCTTTAGAGAGAGGAAGTCTCACACCCCTCTTCACAGGATTGTCACAAAGTCATTGGAGGAGGTATTGGAAATCTCCTGAGATAGAAAGTCGTGCACCCCTCCATGAGATTTCAGTGTCGATAAGTAACTAATTAGTTGAGAGAAGCAAGAGTGAGAGTAGCTCATGTAAAAATATATAAACGAACATTAAAGCGTGTAATGTGAAAATGTACACATGACTATTAAAGTGCTTGTTAAATAATATATATTAACATACATGTGTGGGATCATATATACAGAAACTAGTGAAAAAGCACGTTCTTTGCATGTGGCGTGTAAGACTACTTCACAATTTCTTTTATAAAACAATTCAAAGCTAATAAAAAAAAAATGAAAAAAAAAGAAAGAAAGAAAGAAAGAAAGAAAAATCTTGCACCTTCAAGGCTTTCTAATTTCATCAATTGTCCTAGAAACAAAACAAAAATTAGCGAAAAAAAGGCATCGAAAAAAAATAAAATAAGAATTGGTACGATAATATATTGAAGTTTGTTAAAGGAAAAAATCTTTTCAAAGATTTGCAAAATAAAAATATAATGACCTTACAAGAATTGTTGTGGATTTAATCAAGAACATGAAATCTTAAAAACTAAACACATTTTTATGTCAACATAAAAATGCCTTTTGAAAAGGGGCCTTTTTACAATATACACTTTTCTTTTTTCTTTTTCTTTTTTATGTATATTATATGTAAGTTATGATAATTTATAGCGTTGATATCACAAACGTTATAGTTAAATTACTTAACAACTAGTTGATTGCTTGCCAAAAAAATGGGATGCGTGGTAATAATGAAATTAATAACCAAAAAAATAATGGACAATACTATTAATTGGCGATTAGTTTAATAAGAACATTCTAGATAAGTAACTAATTTGTTTTCGATGAAGAAATGCAGTTTATATAAAAACCAAGCAACTTATAAGATAATGAAAAGGAAAAATACGACAAAGCCCACAAATCCACAGAAAGAACCCATTCAAACTACAAAAAGACGCCAAAGAAAATAATTAAAAAAGCAACGATTTTGAAAACTTTTAATCTTTTTACAAATGTAGTGAAGAAATAAGATTTTTATCAAACTTAAAACCAAACCCATTGTTGTCGTCGTCGTCGTTGTTGTCGCTCAAACTCCACCGTTGTCATCTCGATCATCAATAATTGTGAGAATATTAGGTTTTATGTATATATGGTATTATATATATATTTTGTATATATTAGGGATTGCTTCATTTTCAATCCTAGGTTAGATTGTTATATAAATCGATATACTCATGTATTACATACACAATTGAATATACGAATTTAAGGGTTTTCCCCCAATCTGATGGCCCTAAGAAATTGTTAGCACTTAAGCGGTTTCGATCCCTGAACTTTGGAGGGAGCACACCCCCAATACCCAAGGCCTTGCCCCTAGGCCAATTACAGGAGAACTATAGAAACAACAACACCGTCTTACAAAAATCTATTGTTTTAGATTTATTAACATGAATCCAATTACAAAATAAGAAAGCAATCTCTCTCCTATATGGGAAGTAAACTATGGATGGATTATGTACATCAATTGTATGCCAGCCTTAATCAACCAATCAAAACCTAATCAATTATGATGTTTCCCAAGGCCAATTTCAAAACCGTGAAGTGAAACGAGTAAACCAAGCCCTCTTTGATGATCAGATCAAAGGATGATAATAGAGTTGACGTATTACAATGGCCAAAATTGGACACATAGGGCTCACAGGGATGCAATAGTACTGCAGGCAGTGGAAATAAACAATGGATGAACTAAAATGTGAAAATGTAAGATGCTGACTGTCATAATTGAATGTTAAAGACTAAAATGAGATTTCGATCAAAGTACGACCCTAAACATACCAAAACTTACAGCTAGCAGAAGTTGGCAATCGAACTTAGCTCCTATGTAAGATGCTATTTCAAGGACTACAACCTACTTTTCTGGAACTTTTTTTTTTTATTTTTATAATCAATTTGCAGTTCTAAAACTAAGATTCAATATTCAGGTTTCTCAAACTGGACCAATCATATTCAATTTCTGGAGCTACATATCGTCCAATTGATCTTTGAAATTTTCCAATAAAAAACAAACTGAAAACTCAAACAACACAAATGTAGACCAAATTAATAGACTCAATCATATACAAAAGCAACAGGTTTACCAGATTCCAACCCTCACTAAGTGAAGAGACCAAGTTGAGCCTTCCAAACTTGAACACGGTTTTTAAATTGCAATTGCATGTT